AGTAGACTGGAACTGACACAGGAACTGCACATCAACAGTAGACTGCACACCATAACACATAAACAGCAAGGAACTGCACGAGATATCAACATCAGACTGCACACCATAGACACTGCACCTGACATCCAGCAGACTGCACACCAAACACAGGGAACTGCAGGAACTGCACAGGGAACTGCACATCAACAGTAGACTGCACACACACAGGGAACTGCACTAGATATCAACAGCAGACTGCACACCATAGACACAGGGAACTGGACGAGATATCAACAATAGACTGCACACCATAAACACAGGGAACTGCACCTGACATCAACAGTAGACTGCACACCATAAACACAAGGAACTGCACCTGACATCAACAGTAGACTCCACACCATAGACACAGGGAACTTGACGTGACATCAACAGTAGACTGTACACCACAGACACGGGGAACTGCACGTGACATCAACAGTAGACTGCACACCATAGACACAGAGAACTGCATGTGACATCAACAGTAGACTGTTTAGTGTTATCTTTAGCAACGACATTGCCCAAATATTAATACCTCCACTTGACAGTTTAATGTTAATAATGTGAAAAACCGGAAAACCTTATAACCAATCGTTACCTCTTCATCTTTGATATCCAAAGTCAGTTATCAGCATTCATTCATTCTTGACAATGAGGGAATTGATTTCCACATCCATCTCATAGTAGACAGATTGTGTGGACACCAGATTCCAGAGGTGTATTGTGGCGTCTCAATGGTCTGTAAAGCTTTTGGTTGCAATTTCCCACTTTTTGTCGGTATATACTTGTCATATCTCCTGTTGGCTATTAGTGCATCATATATATACATTTGCAACTTTCCTAAAAATAGCATAGGACTAATATTGTCCAGTTTTAATATCTGTTGTGTACACGCACACTTAGTATTGTATGCATTGTAATCAGCAAGTGTATTAAGCATTTAATAATTTCTATATTGAATAAGTTGAAAGAGTTGATTGTAGTGTTGAGAGGAATCATATCCTGTGTCACTTGTGATGTATAGTTTAACGCATTATCCTGAACAAGAAGAGTTCGAAACATGACGGCAAATATATACGCTGTGTAACAGCACGAGCGTGTGAGTACACCAACACATTTTTTATATAATAAATTCATCGCTTGTGTCAAAAACGTCGGTCGAAATGCTTTTCCAAAAAACTGTTTTCATGTGAGGCACATTGATAGAGAGAGAATTCAGACAGACAAATATACAGTAATGGTGTCAGAATTCGGTGATGCAAGGTGGTACAAAAACGCAGTCACGTACCAACAACCAGAGTACATTATAGAACATCCACAGAATACATTTTATTGTAAATAAACAAGCGTTGATGCTTGTGCTAGTCCGGACATGTCGGTTTGATAGTGCTAACCCATTGTGATACCGCAGTTTAATAGGGTACCAGATACATTGAACCGACTCCGAGGCTACCAGCCTACAGCATTGTAACAGAGGCAAGGTAACAAGTACCAACCTTTGAAAGTGCCTCGGTAACACGCGGCCTCAGCACTCGGAGATACGTTCTGTCCACATGACAGACGTGCCTAAAACCATACTTATAACATACTGCGTATGGCAAACATTTATTAGCACCTGATAGTGGAAAATGTAATTCTTAGCAATTCTTAAAGCATTTTCATAAACCTAATCTATTGCGAAGATACTACAGGTGGAGAAGTTACCACGCATCCATCCTCCAAACTACTTAAGAGCAGATTTTGTGACCCAAGAGGTAGGAAAATATCATTCTTTTCAGAAGAACCTGTTCAGTGACATTACTTTTTGCTCTTTTCGGTATCTTCTTACTGGAAATGCCACTGCAACACTCATGCGATTACTGATTCTCCTTTATGGCATTTCTAAGGATCAACTTCACAGATTGCCAAAATTGCAGGATACAGCTACAAGGCTAGTTACTAAGACCAGGCCCAACCTGTACGCAAAACTTTTCATTGCCACGAAAAGATACAATTTAATGTCTCATGTCCTCCATACCAATCAGTCCACAATATATCCCCTACATGACTTCAAACTCTCTCAATGTATCAAAAAATCCAGAAACCAGAAGAGGTTACTTGTCATATCTTCCTAAAGAACCTCTGTTCTAATACGGCCCTTTCATGGTGCGAGTGTTCAGGATTCGTGATTGGTTGCAATCAGATTTCGTTGTGCAATCAGCGACGCCGTTTTAGAACAGAGGTTCGTAGGGAGATATGACAAGTAACCTCTGTGGGAAGAGAATGATGGATGTAGTGATATAGTGTATACTGCCAGAGACCACATAATCTATTATATGATTTCTGAAGATCCAGGCTAGAATTGATCTTGAGTAACCCATGCTTGTCGTAAGAGGCGACTAACGGGATCGGGTGGTCAGGTTCGCTGACTTGGTTGAAACATGTCTTCGTATCCCAGTTGCGTAAACCGATGCTCATGCTGTTGATCACTGGATTGTCTGGTCCAGACTCGATTACAGACCGCCGCCATAAAGCTGGAATATTGCTGAGCGCGGCGTAAAACTAAACTCACTTAGTCACTTACTCTGATACTACACAACAATTCCTATGACGTGTGGCTATGTCTTACATTACACAACAGTCACTTTGTCGTAATGACATAGGTTTACTACACAACAGTCACTATGTGGTGCTGATATAGTGTATACTACTCAACAGTCACTATGTGGTGTTGATATAGTGTATACTACACAACAGTCACTATGTGGTGCTGATATAGTGTATACTACACAACAGCCACTATGTGGTGTTGATATAGTGTATACTACTCAACAGTCACTATGTGGTGCTGATATAGTGTATACTACACAACAGTCACTATGTGGTGTTGATATAGTGTATAGTACAAAACAGTCACTATGTGGTGTTGATATAGTGTATACTACACAACAGTCACTATGTGGTGTTGATATAGTGTATACTACACAACAGTCACTATGTTGTGTTGATATAGTGTATACTACACAACAGTCACTATGTGGTGTTGATATAGTGTATACTACACAACAGTCACTATGTGGTGCTGATATAGTGTATACTACACAACAGTCAATTTGTGGTGTTGATATAGTGTATACTACACAACAGTCACTATGTCGTGTTGTTATAGTGTATACTACACAACAGTCACTATGTGGTGTTGATATAGTGTATACTACACAGCAGTCACTATGTCGTGTTGTTATAGTGTATACTACACAACAGTCACTATGTGGTGTTGATATAGTGTTGTCATATGTGGTGTGATATAGTGTATACTACACAACAGTCAACAGTCACTATGTCGTGTTGTTATAGTGTATACTACACAACAGTCACTATGTGGTGTTGATATAGTGTATACTACACAACAGTCACTATGTGGTGTTGATATAGTGTATACTACACAACAGCCACTATGTGGTGTTGATATAGTGTATACTACTCAACAGTCACTATGTGGTGTTGATATAGTGTATACTACACAACAGTCACTATGTGGTGTTGGTATTGTGTATACTACTCAACAGTCACTATGTGGTGTTGATATAGTGTATACTACACAACAGTCACTATGTGGTGTTGATATAGTGTATACTACACAACAGTCACTATGTGGTGTTGATATAGTGTATACTACTCTACAGTCACTATGTGGTGTTGATATAGTGTATACTACACAACAGTCACTATGTGGTGTTGATATAGTGTATACTACACAACAGTCACTATGTGGTATAGTGTATACTACACAACAGTCACTATGTGGTGTTGGTATTGTGTATACTACACAACAGTCACTATGTGGTGTTGATATAGTGTATACTACACAACAGTCACTATGTGGTGTTGATATAGTGTATACTACACAACAGTCAGTATGTGGTGTTGATATAGTGTATACTACACAACAGTCACTATGTGGTGTTGATACAGTGTATACTACACAACAGTCACTATGTGGTGTTGATATAGTGTATACTACACAACATTCACTATGTGGTGTTGATATAGTGTATACTACACAACAGTCACTATGTTGTGCTGATATAGTGTATACTACACAACAGTCACTATGTGGTGTTGTTATATTGTATACTACACAACAGTCACTATGTGGTGTTGATATAGTGTATACTACACAACAGTCACTTATGTGGTGTTGTTATAGTGTATACTACACAACAGTCACTATGTGGTGCTGATATAGTGTATACTACTCAACAGTCACTATGTGGTGTTGATACAGTGTATACTACACAACAGTCACTATGTGGTGTTGATATAGTGTATGGAACACTTCAGTCACAGTTTGATACGGGCAGCTATGTTGTTTTAAGGCGTAATCCGAGTTATGTCTACTGACGTTACCTGAGAGGATCGATTGTGTATGTCTTCAAGTGTTGTCATGTGCATTTATGCCCGTTGTAAATCATTTGTGATTTCAGTGTACCTAAATGTAAAATATATGCACACTGAAATTACGCTCTGGCACATGACAATTACTTTAATCTCTTTTACGATTTGGAAAATTTAATGTTCGATGAGACTATCGGTAATTGACTCAATCAATCGTATGGTGGTGGCTCGTCAGCCATCATCTTTCATTCGCAACTGAATCGTAAACTGAAAAATATGTTATACAGTTATATGTGTACAGTTACGAACACAAGACAACCGTGAATGGAGAATACCTCGACTCACCTCAGACATAAGGGCATCCGCTATCCTGCTATTGAGGTATTCGCTGTTTGCTGGACATTGCAAACCTTGTTTCATATCCTTTCTTAAAAGCAACACAGTTACGAATATATGCTAACACGTGAAGCACGACCAATGACACCAAAACTATGTAAAGAGCTAGTTAACTGCCTTGCTTGAAAAATCTGTCTGCCGAGCACACTGTGCATCCGCATCCAAGTCCAACTGAGGCATGCTTTATCTATGTTCTATGTACGTACCTAGAAGTTGTAGGTGACTTTACCACGATACCTCCTCCAGTTTACTGGGACGTGTTGTGAGGGGTTCTGTGTAATCCCATGTTGCACGCGATCCTTGTTTAATCCACGCAAATCCTACACTGAGGTTTATAACCGAACTTCACCCGTAGGCCTCAAGGTCTGTGGTGTGAGGAAGTCGGTGAGGTACACACAATAACAGGGCAATGGGATTAGATTCACCACCGTAGGTGTAATCCACTCTCTGAAACTGTAGCTTCTAAAGCTATTAATAGCTTCACGTTCACGTCTGCGCCTGCCTCTCACGTGCTTACGACTAGAATAGATCTGTAAACCAGATTGACTTCTGTACTCTCTCCCAAGGAAATGTTGACAAACATACATTTGGGAATTTGCCTGCTACTCGAGTATTTCCAGACTGATTGGCTTTTGGTATTCACTACGTAATGACTGATGAATGCAGTGAAGGTTTTATCTTTAGTGGTAGAGGCAATATATATTAAGATCAAATGTTGCTGTTAAAGCATTCACAAGACTAAGTTACAAAGCAATAATGTGTGTGCACTGTAATGTGAAGGAAGCATTCAGGTCGTGTTGTGTGAATCTACTCAACCAAATCTGGCTCACACTTTGTCGTGTTAAGGCCAGACGTAGTGGAGTTACTTCCCTTTGACCTCTTAATTGCTGGACTCCGCTCTGGATTTTATGTAACAAATGCGCATGGCTTCATTTGCAGATACGAACATGTGCTGCTATTATTGCATACACACGCACCCACACACGCACGCACGCACGCACACACACACATTGTTAACGCTGTTTTACGTGTAGATAAATGCATGTGTTGTTATTGGTGTATGCACACACACACATTGTTAACGCTGTTTTACGTGTAGATAAATGCATGTGTTGTTATTGGTGTATGCACACACACACACACACACACACACACACACATTGTTAACGTTGTTTTACGTGTAGAAAAAGGCATGTGTTGTTATTGATGTATGCACACACAACAACACACACATTGTTAACGCTGTTTTACGTGTAGATAAAGGCATGTGTTGTTATTGGTGTATGCACACACACACACACACACATTGTTAACGTTGTTTTACGTGTAGATAAAGGCATGTGTTGTTATTGGTGTATGCACACACACACACACACACACACACACACACACACATTGTTAACGTTGTTTTACGTGTAGATAAAGGCATGTGTTGTTATTGGTGTATGCACACTCACATTGTGTGTAGATAAAGGCATGTGTTGTTATTGGTGTATGCACACACAAACACACACACACATTGTTAACGTTGTTTTACGTGTAGATAAAGGCATGTGTTGTTATTGGTGTATGCACACACACATTGTGTGTAGATAAAGGCATGTGTTGTTATTGGTGTATGCACACACACACACACACACACACACACACACATTGTTAACGTTGTTTTACGTGTAGATAAAGGCATGTGTTGTTATTGATGTATGCACACACACATTGTTAACGCTGTTTTAAGTGTAGATAAAGGCATGTGTTGTTATTGGTGTATGCACACACACACACATTGTTAACGTTGTTTTACGTGTAGATAAAGGCATGTGTTGTTATTGGTGTATGCACACACACATTGGGTGTAGATAAAGGCATGTGTTGTTATTGGTGTATGCACACACAAACACACACACACATTGTTAACGTTGTTTTACGTGTAGATAAAGGCATGAGTTGTTATTGGTGTATGCACACACACATTGTGTGTAGATAAAGGCATGTGTTGTTATTGGTGTATGCACACACACACACACACACATTGTTAACGTTGTTTTACGTGTAGATAAAGGCATGTGTTGTTATTGGTGTATGCACACACACACACACACACACATTGTTAACGTTGTTTTACGTGTAGATAAAGGCATGTGTTGTTATTGGTGTATGCACACACACACACACACACACACACATTGTTAACGCTGTTTTACGTGTAGATAAAGGCATGTGTTGTTATTGGTGTATGCACACACACACATTGTTAACGCTGTTTTACGTGTAGATAAATGCATGTGTTGTTATTGGTGTATGCACACACACACATTGTTAACGCTGTTTTACGTGTAGATAAATGCATGTGTTGTTATTGGTGTATGCACACACACACACACACACACACACACACACACACACACACACACATTGTTAACGTTGTTTTACGTGTAGATAAAGGCATGTGTTGTTATCGGTGCTTGCACACACTGTGGTAGTTCATGTACACATATTGTTAACGTATTGTTTTACGTGTAGATAAAGGCATGTGTTCACGTTGGTACATGCACACACACACGTACACACACATTGTTAACGCTGTTTTAATGTAGATAAAGGCATGTGTTGCTATTGGTGTATGCACACACACATAGTTACATATAGATAAAGGAGGTATGTGTTGCTGTTTGTGCATGCATCAGCTGTCCACATGCGCGCGCGCACACACACATTGTTAACGTTGTTTTACGTGTAGATAAAGGCATGTGTTGCTATTGGTGTATGCACATCAGCTGTCCACATGCACATTGTTAACGCTGTTTTACCTGTAGATAGAGGCATGTGTGTTGCTATCGGTGCCATCAGCTGTGGTAGTTCATGCACACATACTGGTATGTATTGGTTTGTGTGTTGAGTATTGTGACACGTCTCACGTTGATACACACACGCATGTGCCATCAGCTGTTTAACAATGAACGAGACATCTTTGCATAACGAATAACTTTCATAGTTACATATAAATCTTGGAGGTATATCACGCAGTTTGTGCCATCAGCTGTCCACATGCACACAAGTGGGGAGTGTATCATGTAGTTTGTGCCATCAGCTGTCCACATGCACACAGATGGGGTGTGGTATCATGCAGTTTGTGCCATCAGCTGTCCACATGCACACAAGTGGGGAGTGTATCATGTAGTTTGTGCCATCAGCTGTCAACATGCAGACAGATGGGGCGTGTATCCAGCAGTTTGTGCCATCAGCTGTCCACATGTTGGGGAGGTATCATGTAGTTTGTGCCATCAGCTGTCCACATGAGACAGGTGGGGAGGGTATCATATCAGTTGTCCACTTGCAGACAGGTTGGAGGCTGTCCACATTCAACACTGTGTGTGGGAGGGTATCATGTAGTTTGTGCCTCACACATGTGGGAGGGTAGTAGTTTGTGCCTTCAGCTGTCCACATGCACACAGATGGGGGTCTATCATGTAGTTTGTGCCTTCAGATGTCCACATGCAGACAGGTGTCCACATGCTTATAGAGAGGTGGTACATTCATGTAGTTTGCACTGTCGGCTGTCCACACGCAAGCAGGTTTGGGAAATGAAACTGTTTTACATATGTTGTTTCCCACCTGGATGTCTGCCATGCCACTTGAGTAAAATAGCCAACAGTTGTCGTACACAGTTCTATATGGGTTATTCAAATGCCAAAGTTCTTAACAAAGTCAGGGAAGTAGTACCTGTGATTTACTTCCTGTGACAGAAGAGACAAATGCTTACGACAATCGATGGTAATGACGTCATCCTTCAAGGTTACTTCAAAAGCATGTGAACGTGAACAAGAACGCCTTCGCTGAAACCAATCATGTGTCAAAATCGGTGACAGTTATGACAAGATTTGTAACGGCATTTACCATAATTTCGATAATTTTAATTTCATTTGTCAATATTTGCTTAAAGGTGGCTGTTTTCCTGTAAAGGTTAGCACTGAGACAGAAATTATAGTTGCAAGTCACCCTACGATTCTAGAAATCTCACCCACTCCCTAATACATCTGTATTGGAATAGAAACGATCAGACGGCATCCCCAAGGAAAATTGTATTTTATCTGGCTTTAGACAAACAGCCTAAATGATAAACCTGCCCCGTTCAAACAGATTTTATGTAGGAAAAACCAAGATGTGGTCTAATCAAAAGACATTACGTGTGAGTCCCCTCTCCCTCGTGGGAGCTGCGTGTAATCTGCCCAGTGTACTGTGTATCTACAACGGATGGTAGTTTCAAAGGTAAGACGGAAGATAGGGAATTGCTGGCGAGAACAAATCCTTAAAGTTGGACTTGTGGATTGATGTCCTTCATTTTGTAGAAGAATGCCCCGACTGTAGATGAGGTTCTGAAGAACCCTATGGGCTTGTCGGGCATACAGATGCGATATCATCCATCCACTATCTGCCTGTGATATCGTGTATAAAGACCGGAATTGTAATATATTTTATCTAGACACTTCTTCAGAATGGTATGTTAGACAAAGGTATTAACTTCCCTCATGTAAATATTTGTTAATTTTTATGCGCTCACTTATATACTTACAATGATGACTCTCCACTAATGCTTGCCACAGTTTTGGATGACCTTTACCATGACAAATACATTATATTCATGGTTCTCCCCAAAACTCCATAATACAAAAGCACTTTCCTGAAATTAAATCAATCTCAAAACAGCCAGATTTGGTACTCTGTAGTTTCAAATTTACTGTAATATCTGTGAAATGCACGAATGAAAAACCTGGTAAAAGAAAATTTGTAAATCACTTTTCTGGACAGAAACATACACACTTAAAATGGAATTTGCAGTATTCAATCACTCTTTCCCCAAACCAGATTTTCAGCAATATTCCAGCAATATTACTGTGGGGACACAAGAAATTTGCTTTACACATTGTACCAACGTGGGAAATTGAACCCCGATCTTTGGCGCTATGACCGAATGTTTTTACTATTGAACTACCCATACGCCACAAACTATTAAATCATTGGAATGCCTCTGTGTAATGAATATGGACCTAATGGTGTTGATTCAGTGGTTTATAATACCTATTAAAGAGCAACAATGAATTTGATATTAAAACTCTAATAACACAAGGGGACAAGGATATAGTTCTTCATACAATATCATAACAATTATAGAAACATTGATGATCCAAAAGACATGAAATCTAGTATTTGGAAAATAGTCAAATGTGACCTGATACAGATATACAAGGAATAAATGAAAGCACCAAAACAATCACCTCGTGGTAGAAGACAGCTACAGACAGCTTATGATTTTTCATGCATATATGTAATTTAGCCAGGTTATAATTCCCACAGGTCTGTAACCAAATTAACACGTAATGATATTGACAGCCCAAATAGAGGCAAATAGTATTAGAATAACAAACAAAAAATACAAGATACGAAAGGTGCAAAATCCGAATAAACAATCAGTGATTCCTTATTTTTAGAAACATTTTGAATGAGCATAAAGGGGCAAATCAATATCATTTGCTTCGGAATGAAACAGCAAAAAATAGAAACACCTAAGCAAGAAAGAAAAACCGTATGGACTATTTGATAATGAAGATCGGGAAGAGGCACAACTC